TGCATTGCCAAAAAATAGTTCTAATTAAATTAACTGAAGTTCTTGTTATTGGAAAGTCTTAAATTGCATTTTTCTTGTTTTTTTTACAATTTCCATTTTCACTAAATCCAGTATTATAGCTTGTATCTATAAATTGCAGCGCGGTGCCCCTGCTCATTGTCATTAGTGTTCAGAGTGTGAGTAAAGAGACTCTCTATACTGATTCACTCCTGATAATATGTAGTGCATATATATATACAAAATCCACATGATGAATATATATATATAATATAGCTCGAATTTAAAATTTCATTTCTAATGTATATTGTTCATTCTATGCCTTCATACTGATAACTTGAGTTTAACATGATAAAAGAAACCGAGGTCTCACCATAAAATGAGTTAGGCAGTGTTGTACTGTAGTTAATGTTACCCCCCTCCCCCCAGGGGGGTAATCGCTATTTTGTGGGGGTTTAGGGGGTGGCGCCACCTAAATGGGAAATTGATCGGGCAAAAGATGGCTTGAACTGTGAAAACAGGGCAAAAGATGGCTCGACAAGTGCTAGTAAAACATGGAGGCAACAAAGATAGCCGCTCGAGCCATTTGCAAAATATGGCAAGGATATACACGTCATCTAGTATGCAGAGTACGCCCCTCCCCTACCAGCAAACGGCCGGGGGGATGGTACACATGAAAAGATCGGAGGCAGGGCAAAAGAAGGGGCAATCATAACATCAATGACTGCGTTCACGTGTAAATCACTTGACATCTTCATTTAGGTGCTGGCTCTGTTCTGGAGGCCAAAATACATGGGCTTATACTTGAACTTTGCACAGCTGCGCACATAGCAACAGTTCAGGGCTAACCCACTCACTGTCTACCAGCTGACTAACTGCCAGGAAGCACGTTGTACACGGCACAGTGTGCAGCGCGCTGTGCACAGTAAGAGTACCTATACGACCCTAACCTACAGCTTACAAGCGTCGCGCCATTTCAAATTTTATCAGTCATAAATTTACCAATTTCTTATGAGCATATTTTTGTAATCGCGAGCTTAGTAAAACGAGGGAAGATTGTACGCGGCAGTATGTTGCCATAGCTTACCCACATACTATATATTAATTTATACATAACATCTTGATAAGCATACATTTATTATAGGTGTAGCGACCAATATCACACTGGGAAAGCTATATATTCTAACTAGTGCTTATTCTAACTAGATCATCTATCAAGCACTATATACGTAGTAAGAACAGACTGCTGCCACGCGCAGAATCACTGACCACCCGGCTGTCGATGGCGTGGCCACAGTGCGGAAAGGTGTTGGCAGCTGGCCGCACGTGGCGCACAGGTGCGGAAGGTGTTGCAAGCGGCCGCACGTGGCCACAGATGCGGAAGGATGTTGGCAAGCGGCCGCACGTGCCACGGTGCGGAAGGTGCTTGGCAAGCGTCCGCACGTGCCAAGGTTGCGGAAGGTGTGGGCAAGCGGCGCACGTGGCCCCACAGTGCGGAAGTGTGTTTGGCAAGGCGCCGCACGGCCAGCAGGTGGGAAGGTGTTGGCAAGCGGGCCGGCACGCAGCGGCACGCTCGCGGTTGCGACGCGAGGTGCCACACATAACGCCATACGCGCAACAGTTGCGGTAACAGCCCTCGGGGGGCCTCCTACAAACTAGGGTAGGTAGTGTGCCACTTGGAGAGATGGAATGGGGAAGGGGGGGGGGGTCTCGGTAACTACAGCGACATTAAATCGGGAGTCTCCGGAACTAGGGTTTGCTGGAAGCATGGATGACTCCGGACCTGGAGATGTTTGCGAGAGGGGGTCTCCCGGAACGTTGCGGAAAAAAAGTAGGACATATGCGCAGAGACGGGATATATGTAAAAATGTGGGGGGAGGGGATCTCCAGTGCGGAAAAAAGTAGGACCTATGCTCCGGGACGGGAAATACAAGGAGAGTCTCCGGTGCGGAAAAAGTAGGACCTATGCTCCGGGACGGGAAATACAAGGGGGGTCTCCAGTGCGGAAAAAGTAGAACCTCCGCTCCGGGTCTCCGGTGCGGAAATTTTGAAGTTAAAAAGGGGCGGGGGGTCCATAAACGCGTCAGCACATTTACCTAGCCGCGCCGGACCGCCCGCGCGCGCCGCGGCCGGGCCCGCCGGCCGCGCGGGACCATACAATATCTAGGGAATGCTTCCTCCCCGGGGAAAGGGGGGTAACAGTATGCTGGAGAAACAAAGGAACTGACGGTGCGCGCGAGCAGACGGGTGTCGAAGACTACGAAATGAATTATAAATATAGGGTCTCCGAGCGCACGTGGGGGCGGAACCCAGTCACGCGCCGGTGTGAACCCACGGTCGACGTTTACGAGTCGATAAAGCTGCGTCGTATCCTCTACGTTTGCTTTTCGCCTTTGGTTATTTACTCCCTTGGTTATTCTCCTACCTTTCACCTTACACTTATCATTATGTGTTGGATACCTGTATAACAGGTTGGGGGCCGCGGGGGGGGGGGGGGATCAAAGATTTCAAGAAGGGTGAGAACGGCCGCGGTGGGGTTCTCCCCAGAAAATTTTGAAAATGTAGATCGCAGGAAGATGGGATTCTGAGGGCACCTTTTGAGTCACATGTAGCAGGCCTTAAATTCATTCTGACTACGACAATTCTTTTTTTAGTAGAATAATTTCTTTCTATTCATGATCAATAAGATGTAATCATTAAAAATCACTATAACTAACCATACAATTTACGTTTTATCTCTCTCTCTGCGTGCGTGCGTGCGTGCGTGGGCGTGTGTGGCGTGTGATTTTGTGTGTGTGTGTGTGTGCGTGCGTGCGTGCGTGCGTGCGTGCGTGCGTGTGTGTGTGTACTGAATGCACTTTTCCTCCGTGATACTGACGTAACGCATTAAATAATAAATACTTGACGCCACGTCCAGCTTGTATATCACTATTTAAAACAAGAAGAGCACTTCTCATTTATAATACTGTAATCGGATACATTGGAACAAAGTGTGAATGCAGTCTTCAAACAGCCGCTCACGGAGAAGGCCGATCAGCTATAACTAGGTTCAATACTACTGGCGAGCTGTGTTTGTGTGTGTGTGTGTGGGGGGGGGGATGATTGATTTTATCATTCATTGACATCAATCATGCATTGATTGATGTACAGGGGGGGGGGATTGTTTATGTCGCGTTCGTTATTGAATATGTAGGAGGTGACGGTGAGGTGCCACTGACCACCGCTGGGATGCGGGCGACAGCAAAGCTATTTCTTGGAATTGTGAAAACGGCTGCAAAAGCGTTGTAACCTGCTTTGCCACTCAATTACATAATTTAATCTAATTTAACCTATGCATCAGGTGTCGTTTTACAGTCACGCGCGACTATTATACTTGCATGGCGGCAATAATTAATTGGTGTATGTGTAAAAAATATTGTTAGTCCAACAGAGGGTGTGGCTATAGCCACCCAATCTACCCCCCCCCAAATCCGCAACTGGTATATGCATGTATAATATAATTATGTAGATATAGTAGCTGATATACAATTAAACTATTCTACGTATTTAATTCAAAAAAAAACTTATGCTGTCTTCTGTTCCTTCTCTCGTAGCCAACATATACATCAGAAGTAGCAACATAACAACATATACATCACAAGTACATACAACATACAACATACACACAACAACATACAACATACAACATAGACATACATATACGTACATATACATGTCCATACATATACATACATGTACATACAACATATACATCAGAAGTAGATAATAGGGAATCCCTATGATCTACTCTGATATACATGTATATAATTATCATGATCTATATGAAGCCATAGATATCAAGGACGTACGGTACATGATATACGTTACATGCTCTGCCTTATGGAATGATGTATTCTGTATCTATCCATAGATATACCAGAGCATATAAATCAACGATTATATATGCTCTGGATTGATATTTGGATACGTTGATTTATATGCTCTAGTTATATCTATGATCTATCCAACTTCTCGGCTCGCAGCCACTGATCTCTATAATTAATAAGTTCTTAATAATATAGATATGATTATTTATTATTCATGTATATTATTATAAAGTATTAATTATATAATAATAATAATGAATCTAATTAATATATATAATTTATTATATATATTATCTTAGTATATATAAGTATATATTATTATGATTATATTATAGACATAGATATCTATAATAACCAACAATATCGTGTATATATATATATAATTTATATTATACATTTGGAAAAAATTAAAATATTAATAATTATTTATTTGATTCTTATATATATTTATTTCAGTTGTCTTCTGTATTATATCTTGTATCCTTTTTTCGGTCTCCTACCTATTCGGTTTCCTATCGGTATATCGGGTGGGAGCGAGCTACATCAGTTTCCTATGCTTGTAGCACACATCTGAGGCGTGTCAGGAAGCGAGCGCTCGAGAATGCGAGAGACGCGCGATAACGTGAATCGTACAAGTTGCAGCCTGCACTGAACGATACACGAGCGCTCGCTGTGTGCTCGCTGTCCGACTCGCCTTGATGCAAAAGATGGTCGCCCCCAATGGAGGGTTACCAGCAGATTTTAATCGGCGAGACTAAGCAAGTACTGTTAAACGCAATTAGGCAGACGAAATCTGGATACAAATTGAATTTAGAAGTAAAATAAATGAATGAAAAAGTGAAAATAAAGGTTGAAATAGATTGGCAAATTGACAACGTCAGAAATGTTAGATTCGCATTTCGCCAGATTTTTCGTCCGCCATGCTTGAAACCCAACCCGCTCGCATGAGCGAACAGCCTTTTGAAACTTGCGCGCGAAACGTCTCGCTCGCGCCGCTCGCGCAGTGGTCGTTCAAGAAGGCGAACGCTATGCGAGGCGCTAGCGAAGCGTTCGCCTCACCTGAACCGCCTGGGCGCGACGAGAAAAAAAAAAAAGCCGCGAAGCGTCGTGTAACCGAAGCCGAAGTATACCCAACGAAGTACACTGCAGATTGATTCTCACCCGCACCACGGCGCCACTTGACGGCCAGGATCAGGATCCAGGATCAATTCGATATGGCTGCTTTGCAATCTTGAGACAAGTCGAGGTTATTATTTTCAAATTTGCCAGAATATATGTAAGATAGATGTTGATTTCGGATGCGATAGCGATCGCGCTAGCAATAGTATTAGATCTGACCTCAGAAGTTAATTGCTTATTCTGTCGTCAGTGCATTATTTGTATTGCGAAGCCCTCTGCTCTGCCCTAAAGTAAGGCTAAATGTCAGCCGACCTCACTCTCGGGTTCAAGGATAGAGAACATGGGTCCCCAATAAAAACCATATGTCATTTACATCAATATAAATATAATAAATAATAGTTATATCAATAATAGGTTAGGGTTATCGGTTAGAGAGTATAGGTATAGGGTTTAGGGTAGGGTAGGCACATTGGTTTTATTGGGACCCATGTTCTCTATCCTTGGGCCCACTCTCGAGTCTCGTCGTCTCGAGTCATAGACTCGTAGTCGTACTACTACTGCTAGTATTACTACATAGCAAACAAATACTGAAATAGCACGCACTCACTGTCTCCACTAAACGTGTACATCATACTAGCGCATATTATGCGTGACCGCTCTGATATATGCGTTTGGTGTTAACATTATAAATTCAACGTTAATATATTTTTATTTTGGCAGTGGCTACGGGTACGGTAGCCGTATCTTAATGGCTCGAGGCTACGGGTACGGGAGTCCATTCGCTTTCATACTTAACGAGAAAAAAGATGGCGGCGGTGGCGCCAGATTTCGAAATAACGCCTTGGGAAATAAATTCACGATTTGAGAGTTTAGATGAGCTAGAACCCCAACCCTAACCCTAACCCTAACGCCAAAAAGGGGCTTCAACGAACGACGGCTACCGTACCTCCAGCCACTGCATTTTATTTTAGTAAAACGTCGAAATTCACTAAGGTCAATAAGTCTTGTCGAGTATGATAAAATACGCTGTGGCTCCTCGACCGGACACATCTCGCGGAGGGAAGGGAAGGGAGGCTACTAAAATCACTATAACTGCCACTGAATGTACTGTTTAATCTAGTTTTATTACTGGTACACAATAATTAATAGAATCACAAAAAATCTGTTGATAGTTTGTTGATAAAACAACAAATTGACTTGGCAGCACCACCGCCGAAGCCACTAGCGTGATGCGTGTCAGGATCTGGATAGTTTTCTGCGTAGCCCACGGTAGTCCGAGCCGACGCAGACCCCAGTAATGGGGTCTGCGGCCGTGTCTATCTCAATCACGGAAAGCCACCTCCAGTTTGGAGGTGGCACTTATAAGTAATATATGAGCTTGATATATACAATCCTATTGCGTGGAACATACTTTAATCTGAACTTGAATCATTTATCTACGTGCATGCACGCAATGATGTCCTGGTAGCGGCCACAACAAGAATATATCAAGTTGTTAACCTAATGGTAAATATAAACATCCAAAGAAAATGTTCTGTCTTTATTCACATTTGTCAACCAATGAAAATCACTTCCGGTTACTTCGGCTGTTCCCGATGTTCAACAGGAAACATGGTAGGTAGTCCGCGCCATCTATTATTATTTCCGAGTGAACCCGAGGCTACCGGAAGTGAATTTCCTTGGTCGATCAAAATATCTGTCCAATATGGCCAAAAATGTCGAAGTTATTCTGACTAGGATGAATTATTGCATGAAAACAAAGTTCTGAAACGGAGATAAAGTCTTCGGAAAGCGATATTGACGAACAGAAGGTCTGTACTTGATATTTTGGGTCGGATATACCCCCGTCACGCCCTCAGTGCTACTCGATTCACCTATCCAATGCCCACAACATAAATTGCAACAATTTTTACAAGGGTGACTGCAGACGATAAACCCGCACCCTCAGATTAGCAAAGCGGAGTTATAACGTCTGCATTTGCGGACTAAGCCCACGGTTACGTGGATAATAACGCAGGGACATTCCGTAAGGAATAATGTCCAGGGCTATAGCTAGCCATGAGGTGTGACCTAGCTTGTGAGGGAAGCTCCCTGTTGATTGGTTCATCCTGTTTTAACCGGTCATTTTTGCCACGGAACATTTGCAAACGGTTACCGGTCGAGGAGCCACGGCCGTTATAATATTAAGAGTCTTGCGTCCATTGTGAAAAACTCCTAGTAACTCATAGAAACTGAATGTATCTAGAAGTCTTGTCATTAGCAGTATTTGTGTAATGTACATTTACAATGTTTGTGCAACTGCAGGACTGCCATTGCTTTTGGGAGCAAGGCACACTTTTAAGCCCTCTATCACATCTGCACTTGTTGCAAACCGTTCCCTGCGGACTTCAGAACCACAGAAGGGCAAGGAATGTGTCAATTATATGGGTAGGTATATATGATTGAATCTCCTTTTCAGTCATATCTTAATGGCCATGTAAATCTGATCATATATTGAACTTATTGTACTAAATTTATATATTGTTTGTGTGTAATATGTCAAGCATGAAAACTTGGCCAAAAAGAGTAGTACCCAGTTGATCCCTTAAAGTATTTATTCAAGGAGCTCACATCAAATATAAGTGTGTAGCTGATAACACTGATTGCAAATACAGCAGCTGTGGGATTTGGTGCATTTAGGTTGTGGGTGCAAAAATAGTACTCAATTCCTTGTTATTTTGAAATTTTTGAGCACCTATATTTTAAGGGATTGGTTTATTTGATAACATGCAAATACCTAGAATGTATTAACAACTGATCAAGTTGGGTAGTGCAGGTGAAGAGTCCTAAATGAGTGCACTGGGACTTGATTTAAAAAAAACTGTTTGGTATATATTTATATTAAAGTTCTGCACTAAGTTCCTATGCAGATTATAGCCTATGGTCTCAGCTACATATGAATGATAGAACATTATGGTTTGAGATACATGCTTTTGTACTTAACAAGTACATTAATAAGACTTTTCTACATTGTTTCTAAAAAAACGTATACTCTAGTCAAAATTGTAGCTGAAGTCACGTTTTTGCTTTTCTACATAGCTCATATACTATATTGTTGGCTCTCTGTTTATCATAGGTGAGCCCCTAACTGTATACACTGGTCACTGGAAGGCTGAGAAATATCTTGCACTTGGATTGCTGGGGCTGGTGCCAACAGCACTCTTTGTACAGCATGCTGCAATTGATTACGCACTGGCTGCTGCCATGATCCTCCATGGCCATTGGTAAGGTCGTAATTTGTGCATAGGTTCCCATGCTAAGCTAAACAACATGATTGCACCTACATGCTGGAACTCTATTTTTGTCACCAACAAAATGTCGGAGGTTGTTGTCTGCTGTACGTGCTTTGCTATAAATATAGCTGTATGTCATTGCAGGGGCATGAAGGCCATCATAGATGACTATGCCCACCAGGGCAAGAAGGGCAGAGCTGCAACACCTTTTTGGACAAACCTGTCGATCGGTGTGTCGGCCTTCACGTTTGCCACGCTCTGCTATTTCAATTACAATGATGTTGGAATCTGTGGAGCTGTTCGTTTGTTGTGGACTATCACATAAATCTCCAATATTGTAGAAATGGGCTTCTTTCCTTTGTATAAGTGTAGATGCTCACATGTTAACGGTACATATCTAATTTGCTAGGAACAATACTGATTCTAATATTGTGATGCAAAATAGACGACTATGTAACTGTTTCTTGTTCATTTCGGTCTGAAGAATGGCAACATGCAGCTGTTTGTATAAATCTATACATGCTAAATACTGGTCAAAAGGTCATGGTAGTTCGCTTGTGGTTTGAAACAACAATCTAGGAGTGATGTTGTTTGCACTTTACATGTAAATGACATGAACTGCATTAGGTGTCTAAGCAATGTTGTGTTAACATTTTATTTCTCACTAATATGATGCCAGTACACATAAAATGTGTATCACGAAAGTATAGGTTACCAATTCTGTTTCCCTGTATTGACCACATAAAACAAATTACATGATAGAAATTATGTGCATGATCTATTTATTTTAGAGTTCTCGTCTGTTGCATAAATCTGGCTGCTAGTTAGTTAGTGCTTGCACTACACTTCAAGAACTATAATATAATGTAATGTGTTTCAAACATCGTTAAAAACAGTACTAGCAACTGAGGTTCATTCATTCATTAAACTGATTTACATTACCAGAAAACTACGTTGTTTAATTTAATTATTTGGCCTATCACAAACTGCTGAAATGGCCTATTGAGCAATATTGTGTCAGTGTCTGTACAGCATATACTTGTACAGACACGACATAGTTTTTGTACCATTTTTTGTCTCCATGTACTACAAGTGATAAGTTCTACACTGCAATTAGCCTACCATACTGGCAAGTCCTAAGTATTATTACTTGACACCCTTACACTTATTATTAGACATTGGTTTGTCTTAATTATCATGGATCTACAGTTGTATGTATGTGTGTATATATATAGTACACTGTAACATATACACTATACATAGTAAGATTCCTAATCGTTTCCATTAATAGACTAAACAAGTGCAGCATAATGCGAGTGTTTATTTTGATTGGAATTCCACTGCTGTAGATGTTAATGCTAACGTTGCTGTCCGATGCTGTTATCTGTTTTCTGTTTGTAAAAAGAACAGTGTGTAAGTGTTGAACTACCCCAAGCTATGGCATTCCTCCCAGCAGTGTGCTATAGGTAATTTAAGTAGTTATCAGTTCTCAAATTCCTGCTGTGCATCCCCAGCATTACAACCTACTAGTATTGCATATTCTCTGGATATACATCAACACAAGCTGCACGTGAGGCAAGAATGTGATTTAACATGTTAATATGTTGTTCAAGTTTATATTAATGATAAACTATAAGTTAGGAAGTGAATCATGATTTACCTCCCTGCCCCTTAACCTTTAATCCCCAGTTTATCAGTTAATCACTGATAAGCAGTGGAAACGCTCCGCAATTTTTATAGTGATAGTCTTCTATATAATACATTCTATTGCAGTAATGCACTGATAAAATGTGATTTACATCATATATTTTAAAAGTAACTTCTTGCTATTAGGTTTCCTGCTGTAGCTGTTCACGTAGCGTCTTTATGTTGTTAGCATAAAATTGGTGTATTTCTATGTCCTGTGCGCTACGTATCACGATGTGTGGCCGCTTTTCTTTGATGTACGTAACCGCTTCTTCTGGAGTCCACAGATGCAGCTGAAAGATGAAGCACTAAGAATTAATTCTCTTCTTTAAATCTCAATTTCTCACAGTTTTTACCAATAAGCAATTTTCTCCAGCCTCACCCAATTTTGCTCACATCTTTGGAATGCAAATGTCACACGCTTGTTGCTAAACCACTGTACACCCACTGCTTATTGTATATAATGATAGTCGTAGTTCATAGTAGTGTTGACAGCAATCACTCAACATTTTTAAGCGGTTATTGATTGCAACAACCACCCGGACACTTGCCTGCATCAGGTAACATGTAACTATAGTCGCACTTCTGCTCCGGCCGGCCTTGCAGTGCACATACACGCTGTTCTCTGTGTTGCGGAAGCTGTTTAAAAATTCTACAGCTCGGTGTAGCTGCTCTTGGCTTGGTGATCCAACCATGTCTGGGCAGGTCAACCTTAGCTGGGCTACACCAAGTGCAGCCCACTCCTGTAAATGCACAAGTAGCACAGGATAGCAGGAGTAATGAGGTTTCTGATCATTCGTTTCTAAGTACGAAAGGTTGGTACATGCTCAATATGGTTCCAAATTAGGCACGTTAAATATGCAATATTTCCACATTTTAGAGTAGACGTGTTTAGAATATACATGATCGTCACATTTGTAATAATTCTTGTACCATTCAACTTGCCAACACTTATAACTACAAGTCACAGCTGCACATATTCCCCTTCAGCTGTACACTATCGACCTTTTCCATATGCCAAGCGATGACAGATGACAAGTTATTTAACTGAAGATCAAATGCATTTAGTTAATCAAATACATGGGACCGATTTGTAAAAAATAACACCGTAACACAAATGTTATACTCACATCTTTGGTATTAACGAAGTATTCTAATTCATGATCTTCGTTACACGTTATAATCCCCTTGACTTTCTCATCCTCTACAAGCTAAGATGACAAAACAAAGTAAAGATAATGATTACATAATAAAAAAAAAAATAATCTATATATATAAAGTTGTTCAGCCGAATTAGTTCGCACTCGCATAACTAGACAACTCTGCAGCCTAGAGGAAAACTAAAGATATTTTCAGAATCAGCACGTCTGGGAGGTGGTTCTGGCCGAAACATTTAAAAAAGTTAAAAATTCATAAAAATTCTATTCATCAATAGATGGCGGTGCGTACAGATTAACATCACGTACGTGTGAATCCATGGGGTATATATACCCTTAATGGCGCAGTGGCCTAATCGCTAGAACATCCGTCTCCTACATCGGGATTCCGGGTTTGAGTCCCAGCTGGGGAACTTATTTTGCCCTTTTTTCCCATTTACCTACCTCTAGTATGTATTATTTTTAATTGTTTACTTTTTACTTTAATGTCTTATCTTTTGATTTCTTATTTTTTACTGTTTGGGATGGGATGGCATGGGATGGGATGGCATGGGATGGCATGGCGTGCGATGGGATGGCATGGCATGGCCTGAGATGGGATGGGATGGGATATGGGACGAAATGAGATGGGATGGGATGCGGTGGGATGGGATATGGCATGGAATGGGATGGATGCATGGATAGATAGATAGTTAGATTTTTTGAGTATTTTCCTTTCAACCAAGCGATCACCAACTGAGTTCCCCGGGCAACGCCGGGTATCCCGCTAGTATATATATAATAACGTATCTGTAAATTTTGTTGTAATATTAACACTACTCAGCACAATATATTTGTTGAAAATGAAAAACTTAGTATACTACTTAGTAGTAATACTATTTTGTTTTAGGGAAGTATATCGAACAAATATCATCGATATATCAAAAATAAAAATTCTAACAGCAACAACAAACAAGTGCCGCATAGCGACAGCGCTCATCTAACGTCTACTGCGATGACTCTGTGGTGGAGTGTTGGGATTCTAGTAAACCCTGTTAGTCCCAAATGTGTTCACATACACGCCGAAACAGTGGAATGCACAGGGATGGTATCAGGGACCTTCTCAAAAGAATGTATCGTTGGGATCCCCGTATGAAAGTTGCCACGGATGGGCTACGTTTAAGTGTCTTCAGATTAATAGATGGAAGCTCCCATCATACGTAGTATAGGCACTGTAGCAACACTATCTGGCAAGACAGAATAGGTAAGCACTCATCCATTTACCTACGCAAGCGCTACAGGCTGCGCAATAGAAGCTGCCACCTGTAACCAATTAAGGCAAAAACTCCACAGTACTACAACACATGACATGGCAGTACCACTGAGTGGCATACGTACATGTAATCCTGAACTACAGAATGCATATAAATTATACGATTTAAGGAGCTTAAACCTTCTTAACCAAATTTAGCTTTGAATTTCACTGTGACATTGTAGCCTCATTACATCCAGATGTATAGATCTACTAGCAAACCCGCAGTCAAATTCTTTTAACAGACGTCAACAAATCCATGTTAACCGCTCTTGAGGGTCAAAAGTTATCTGACACTTACTCTTCGCATGTCAGCAGAAAGTAGATTTCAATGGTCCTTTCATAATCCATAAAAATGCCTAGTCACCGCTGAAACAAAAAAGTTTCAATCGCTCCGTCAGACCATGTCCTCAGAAAGTCTAAAATCTGCCCTGTGCCATTGACCTTTGACCTGTGACGCTCCAATTTCGGCACAGTGATGGCTTTCTACCATGATGCTTACACCAACTATCACGAGCCTATGGTCGCAGCCGTTTAGATTTGTGCCGAATTCTGCATTCCTCCCTACTTACTTTAAGAGTGAATTGTCCCCTTCTTTAGCCACTCTTGACTTTGACCCTTGACCCCCAGCTTCGACAGCCCAACTCGTTTTGACGATCCCCAATGTGCCGAATATCGTGACGTACGTCGAGCGTTTAAGATTGTGCCAACTGTTGACGACGGACGACGGACGACCGCGACGGACGGACGGACGGACGGACGATACCCCCCCCCCCAAGAGATTCTACAAGCGGCATCTGACTATGTCAGATGAGCAAAAATTCAGTAAGTATATGCAACAAAACACTATATTGTACCTGCCTGCTTGTTCATACTCCTGAATGGCAGTGCACGCTAATATTACATGCTTGTCTATTCTGTTGAACCAGCACCTCCATGATATCTTCCCATTACACATTGCTATAGTAACGTCGGATTAGAATATAAACCTTGCCATTTTGCTGAAAATCATAATATCAGTACATATTGACAATAATAATTATATCAAGAGCGTATAAAGAAAGAGGCGTACAACAGTGAAATGCTGAAACCATGTTGCAGTATTAGTCGAATTGATAAATTTTCCCCTTTTATTTTGACGATTGCGTAGAGGCATCGTAGGGACAAGCGGTTGTTTTACATTAGCAAGGTAGGACAGTCTACCAATAATCCGCAAAAATCGTCAAAATAAAACGGTAACAGTTTCTTAATTCGACTAATACGCAACATGCCTATGTTTCAGCATTTCACCGTTGTACGCTCTCCTCTTATATACCTCTGTGATTATATCAATATATCCACAAATAAGTGATATCAGAAGTCCAGCTGTGTTATTAGGTCATAGAAAAAGGGTATAAAAGTGATGCGCGCTAGGAAAGTCATGATTTTAATGTCTGACACTCGTGCGTTTTTAGTTATTTGCATTAAACAAACATTGGCAAAATACTCAATGAAATGACAACAGTCGTATTGTGTAAATGTTTCTGTAAACCCGACACGCACCAATGAATTAAAGTACGATGTTAGTGAAGAGATTATAGATCAAAAACCTAGACTAATAGTAGTACTATCGTAACTATGTTAAATATAGGCAACTTATCACCCCTCTTAGCTGATCTCAATAAGCGCGCGAAATTCCGATTGGCTTAATAACTTATACGGTAACTGTATAGCTATCAGGAGTAGATATAGGGAAGGAGTGTGACTTCAATAAACAGATGAAATTCGTCATTTACTAGCCTTATAATACCTACGATTTACTACGCGTAACTCATCCAACTTGGCTCAAATCGTACACACGTACATTCGTCTAGCATCGTGCGAAATCGTTCCTCGTATACACCCGCAATCCGGGATACAGACTAACACGTACGACACGGTTTTCCATTCGTTGGCTAACAAACTCGATGCGTCGGAGCCTTATTGAAACAAAAGCAGCTACTAATAAAACATAAATCTGGGCATCACTTCAGACATATACCTAAGCATGGATTGCACCGCCTACCGGACACTGAGCAGCGTCAGACTGCCTGCCACGCTCACACTACAGCATGTATATATATATATATACATGTATACCAACACATATATAACCCCCATGGTGTATACCTCACCGACCGAGCTTTTCCACTCGCGTTTTCAACTCAGCTTCAACTCTGGTGTTCCTGTAGTGGAGCTACTTTCTTTGTGAGCGTGGTGGGGCTAATCTTGATCCTGTGCAGTTACCGGATAGTTGAGTTGTTGTGCAAACTAATACCGTTAATTCGACCAGAACTGAAACAAATACACGGGCGGTCAGGGCGATTTGGCCCAAAATGCCATAAAAGAGCCCCTTAAATTTGCATAAGAGTTCAATGCAAACCAAAATTTAGTGACGTATCTATTCAAGCACGCGACTTCTTTTTTTTTCCCGTTCGACCTGCAGTAAAGCTTCTGGAAGATCCTAGTACTATACTACTTGATAAATGATGGTACATAAAAAATTCATTCTTAATCTCCATCAGAAATATTTTTTAAACGTTTATTAACTAATGTGTTCCCAATTTGTCCGGGACAAGGAGTCTATGTCGACAAGTTATTCTAGATCTCTTGGCAATGCCGACGACAACCTGAAAATTTTTAGTCATTGAATATTCCTATAACATCCTTTACCATAACGGCGTTCTATGCATAGAATGTGTAATGGTCAAAATGTTATTGGTGACACTACAGGTGTGCGCGGCTGGCTGTTTTCGCGACTTTCAAAATAAAGTGAGAATCGTCGTGCCATTAGTCGCCCTGGCCTCAAAGATGTTATCAGTCCTGAATATTTGACATTTGAGTCAATAAACTTCTGAGTAAATCACAATACATGAGTAAATCTGTCTTTTTTCATCACAGGCGGCTAGTCGTTGCTGCAATACGACGACTTTCGATTACAATTGATCACTGGGACATCATCTACTTCTGACTTGCTGGTGATCAAATTATGAATAATAATATATTAATTATATTGTAATACTAAGCACCACAATACAAGCACTGAACTTACATAATATAATTATGTTAAATAACCACAAAAGTTTACCTACCATGTCTAATGTTTTCTCGTCTTTTGTATATTATTTAGTATTAACCTTACTTTGTCAGGTCCCTACTTCCATAATCTTACAGAGCTGACAAAGCATCAAACTTGCAAGTTTAGCCTATGGTAGTACTATAAATATTAGAGGGGTCCCTTGCCAATGTAAGTATAGCAGTCCTCGCCAAAAGCGTCGGACCGTCGACAAAATGGGTATTTTCACGGTCCGACAAGAAATTGCTTACCAGACCGGTGTGCCAGTCACATTCTATAACTAACTTACGCCGAGGCTTACGGGTTATGCGATTAGCCACACACTATGCCTAACTCTAATATCCCTGCCATGGTATCTATATACGCGTGTACCAATAATCATATGGTAGTGGAGAAAGCCGATAGGAAGAGATGTGTATTGATAAGATAGAGAAAATGATGACATGCACGTGTGTTGTGAACTATCTGGGAAGTTATATTTACCATCTGAATTATCACCTGGATCACACAACTGGACAAGGCAAAGCTGAAATCAGTGAAACCTACATTTAATGACAAAGCTGGCAACGCAATGCTTGCTGATGTACGGCGTCACGAAATGGATGAACAAAATAAACGATCGTAATTTTCAGCTTATACTGGACGGTCAACAAACATAGCTCGGACTGA